TGAAGGCACCAGGTTCTATGGTGAAACTGCCCTCAATCACGCCAGTTAATTTTAGAACATGGGAAAGTCAAGGAAAGTAGCTTATCATCCGTAATAGCTATTTCAGTTTGGCAGTGGCAATGTGCACTTTCAAAACCGCGTGCGTTAGCTTACGCGTTCGCACTGTAGTTCAAGTAGTATAGTTTTATGCATTATGTAAGGATATAATATAATTCAATAAATATAAAAATATTATCTTCGAAAATTCTTTAATAGCCATTGTAAACTTAAATAATAACTTTATATAGCTGTTTGCCACGTTATTGTGGTGCTAATTCTTCGACTGACCTGAGTATATTTTCCTTATCTTATGTTTTTTTGCTTTAAGGGTGTTCAGCAGTTGATTCTATGTACCACCATCGTAAACTGTTGCTGAAATCTGTCATTTTCATTCGTCTAAACTTATTCGCTGCAGTTAAGCAGTTTGTGAGGGATTGGTTTGGATAGATATCATTGAACAGATACTGGAACCAATATTTCGACCTCTCAGGGCCAGCTGTTGCTCCACTTCCAACCTCGTACTTAAGCCTTAAAATGGAATCATAAAATAAAAATGTTGCTCTCTGAAACCGAAATATTTGTTACACACATACACGTGTGTGTGTGTGTGTGTATATGTGTGTATGTATGTATGTACGTACGTATGAATGTATGCATATATGTATGTATGTAAGTTTGTACATATGTATGTATATATGTGTGCACGTATGTATGTATTTATGTATGGATGTATATCATGACCACCTGAACGCGCCCTCTTCCCCTTTTGAAATTGATTGGGTGCTCCTCAGCTTTTTAACCCACTTTTGATTATGCCCGTTACCCATATTAGGAATATCTGCGGGTTAAATATTATTACCGGTGCACCGTTAATTAACGCCAAGAAAGTTATGTGAAGTGGAATACAGGTGTTGAAACGCCATGGAGTCGTGGCTTGATTAAATCGCCCCTGTCCCTCATACCTCCTGTAAGTCAAGCGGGCAGAGTTCGGAGGTCGTTTGTAGCTGATCGTACGTTCAGAGACGAATGACTTCCAAACTGTACTTACCTCTTATTTTTGAAGAAAGCCAGTGAGACACGGCCTATAACGTCAATATCGGTCAATCTTCTGATTGATCATCATTTGCGATGTGTATAAATAAGATGTTTTTTGAGTATGATTCCCAACGCAACAACTGTTTTTGGATATGCCCTTGCTACTTTGACAGTGTAACTCTCTTACTACCCTTTTACCGATTTCTTGCCAAATCGCATTAGCTAGTTTCTTTGTTTTATTGCCTAGGAATCTTGGCCGCGTTTCTCTCTGGAAAAAGTAAACTGTAAAACATCTCCGGCGCTGAACAGCAGCCTGTTCATTTTGGTTCTTGATCTTAACCAGCATTATATAAGTAGCACTAAAAACCTAAATGTCTCTATTTACGGTTAGTTCAGAATGAGATTAAAACAGAAAGGAAAGTTTGTAACCATCTGAATATCAGCCTCTCTCCCACCTACATGATGAGGCTGATTCTAGCACCCTCTTGAATTTAATGGCAGAATGAACAGCAGCTCTCTGACAAGCATAGTTTGCATTCTCGTTTCTTTCTCACTCATTTTTAATAGTGGTACTGATTTATCAACTCGGATGAGAGGAAGGCTGTTCTGAGTCCCACGCTCTAAAGACCGACTAATTCCCGTCTGAAACAACGTGTGATAAATTCCTTGCTCAAGGGAATTCTCGGTAAAGACAGATAGCTCGCCGCGGTAATCAAATCCCGTACCTCGAGTTCGAAGCCAGCCTCTTACGCACTGTCCCACCACGCCATCTGAATGGGACTGCGTAATGGTAAACAACGTGGACAGTTGTGCGATGTAAGTCCCTCAGCATTATTTGGGTTCGTCCGCTGATCACTGCATTATTTGGCTCTACCAGATGACCTGCATTAAACTGGGAATACACGGCTCTGTGCGCCTAAACTATCCTATTATTAATAAACACCCCCTTCTGTTAAGAAAATATAAGATAAACAAAAATTCTCGGAACGGACTGATTAGATGACGTTCGACAAGAGGAACCTCAGTCTGTAACTTGACTCTGGATAGCTCATATGATATACATTCGATGGGTATGTGGCATTTGAGAAAGTTTTTCCCAAACATATTGTAACTCTGAAGCTGTCAACTGTAACTATCATGCTACTCGTATGAGTAGCCGATAATTGTTTAGCGCTCAGGAGTGAAACTTGTTAAAGCTTGGTCCGCTCTTTTTACTGCTATCTTGCAAGTTTCCTGCATCTTTTACATTTTGACTTGCAACAATACTGCCGTAACGAATGACGATGCATATTACTACGCAGTGTTACACAACTCCCTTGCTTCTAGATGCACAGGGAGACTATTTAAGCTTGTCAATGTTTCAGTGATCCATGGCATTTCAGCATCGGCAATGAATAGATGCAACATCACATCCTTGAATAGGGTACGAATCATGCGTGTTTGCAGGCTAACTCGATGTTGTGGCTTAAACTACACACCGAGTAGGGTCGGATCACATACATCCGCATGCCAACTGAAAGTTGCTGCCTTGTAAATTTCCTACATCTTGTTCAGTTCATTTTTGCTTTTAATCAGAGTTACTAATTTTAGAAACAATTAGTTGATATCATCATTCAGAACTTTCTGAACACAGATGCCTTAATGTACACAAGTTCCTGACTTTATTTTGTTTACAAGCACTAAAGTTCAGACACCCGTTTGCAACTATTTAACAGACAATTTATTCAACAGAAGTTCGTATAGTCCTCGACTGATTCTGCGCTCTTTCATGATTTCAGCTTTAACGCCTTCGTCAATGTCGGCTGTATTCAAATCAAAATTGCGCGGAGGCTTAAATTAGAAGGTAAATAGTATTAATGCGAGAAGACTACTGTGATACGTACCAAACTGGAATAAAATCGATCGAGGCCAGACTGCACTGCTGAGTCAAAATCAGGTAACGGACCATATGGTTTAACGGTTGAGAAATCGTCTGATTCTGTGGCGAGCCGTTTTTTCAAGGGCGGTAAAGGAAACAGCACGTCGTATTCATCATCCCATAGGGTATCCATATTCGTCATAAAGGAGACTGACATGCAAGGGCCTTAAAGTACATAGCTTAAGTTTTCGACGAAACAGAAGTCT